GGCTTGTTTTGTTTTGTTTTATTTATTATTGTCATTGTCCTCTTTTTTTTTTCTTTTACTCTTCTTCACTCGTATCCTCAAGTAGGAAGAGAAAGAGCAGAGAGGGGATTGGGGGAGATTGGGGGGGAGGTTAGGAGGGAGGACACACTCTCCCGGGTTTGGTTAAAAAAAAATAAAAATAAAAATAATAAACCCAACGGAGGGAAAGAATTATCTTATTGGAATGTTAAAAGGGGGGTGTGTGGGCTTGACACAACTGCAGTGTGTGTGTATGTGTATGTGTGGATTGTGATACACATTGTGGAGAAAGATATGCAGGATTGACAATACTTTTTGGACTTATCAAACCACTTGTTTATACTCTGGATAAACTATGCTAATATAGTTCAATGGTTGAATAAGCTGGCCAGAACCACCTGTGGTGTATGGACAAGTTGCTCCCCAAATATGGGGTAGGCTGATAACTATCCCAGCGGCGCTATTATAATGAGAGCATGTTATAGGTTGGTTAGTGTTAGGTCATTACTATCAAGGGTTGAAATGTGGCCAATCGATGACTTTTGTTCCCTATAATAATGCATATTATGAATGTTGGTGGTGGTGGAGGAGGAGGAGGAGGAGGAGGAGGAGGAGGAGGTGGGAGAGGAGACGACGACAACAACTACAATGCTACTGCTGATGATGTATGTTCTTTAGCTGTACCCTCCCATCCGGCATTACACAGGGCTCCACTGAGAGACTTGCAGTAGAGAAACAAATCAACGTTGGACACAACTGCAGTTAGGAGCTCCTGTCAAGGATTGAAAGACTTGTTACAGATACGGAGTAGAGGGAAGGGATAAGTGGGTTAATTGTCTACTCTTTTTCTTGTTATTTTCGATCTGGAGGGGGAAACTGAGGGGAGGAGGAGATACTCTTCAGAAAGCAAAAAGGATCGATCACCCACACTCTAACCAAAGAAAACAGATGAGACGACGGGACTGTACCTGACCCAGATTCTTACAATGATCACATCTCAATCAAATTAAAAATAACTGTCATTTCCTGAATCCAAGGATTGCAATGATGAATCTTTGGTTCGTGACCCATGAATAAGACGACTCCGTAGGAAGACTCACTTTCTCTTGTGTCTGGTCGCTCATCCTGGCTCGCCCTGATTTGCTGATCACTTTTCTCTTGCTCCATACGGAGTCTGAATCTCCAGTTGGACTTTTCTGGGTCTTCCCCACTTAGTTAATACTCATTACCAGATGGGCCTTTTCATCCCTTAAGGAACAGGTAACTTGTTTTCCCTCCTTCCCGTGACCTTTTCTTTTTCTCTCGGAGTTCCTTTTTTTCCAGGCAGGGAAATTGTTGCCACATTTCCGCCCTTTCCCCCAAAACCCACCCTCAGGAGGTTTCATCTGGAGTATTAGATATTTTGTGGCAGGACAATCCAGGAGTTACGACTACTACTAGTACTATTTGGTAGTAGGTGACCAATACTAACTAATGGAAATTCACTGGTGATCACGCATTACACAATCCACTAATTTTCCATGATCTTCCACATCCCTCCTCATTTAACCATGTTACATATAGGTAGTAGATCATTGCGCCCTGATTGGCCCGTCTCAGCTAAAAATAAAATAACATGTTAGAAAAAATTGTTGCCCGTCTAGGTTTTCCTGTATTCTCCCTCTGTTCATGTGGAAAGAGAAGAACGCCTCGAAGTTTGGTTTACGAATTCGTCAGTGGGATTCTCCCGTTTCCAGGAGATCAATGGAATTTTGATATGTGGATTTGGGCACCGTTACTCCGTATTGTTTCTGCATTGGATCGAATCGAAACCGATTTATGTGTGTGTGGCTAGGGTGGGTTTGTCCTTTTTTTAATATTTTATTTAATTGTTTTCTAAATCCTTTTCTTTCTTTGGGTCGGTGTCGCGCGTCTTGTACCCTATGTTTCTGTACATAGTAGTACATCTCAGATCCTGGACTGGGGGTGATAAATTAAAAAAACTATACATCAATGAGTTGATTGTGTTTGTCACTAGTGTGACAGTAGTGGGTATTTATTAGGAGGGGGTCCAACAGAACACAGCACATTGGATGATTGGGGGGGCAAAACACTTGGTAATACCCAGGTAATTAATTCAATGTAATCATGATCAGAAAGGGAGGGCTTGAGAAAAAATGGAAAAAATGGAAAAAATGGAAGGAAAAATGGAAGAAAAAAATGGAAGAAGAAAATATCCATCTAGGAAAATGATTTTTTTTTTTATTATGAGCAGAAGTAAGAATCCTTACAAACACCTGAAGCTATTTGTCGATATCCAGGTGCTGAAGCACTGAAGAATATAATTATTGTAATGAATCTTCATTTCTTGTGCTACCCTCCCCCTGGGCCCATGTAAGGCTGGTGATGTAAATTGACAATTATTACTACATCTGATACTTGGAGCTCAAACTCGATCCATGGACTTGTTTGTTTGGAACTGACCGCAAAAGTCAAAATGGGGTTCAAAACTACTAGTATACTAAGTTAGTTTAGTGAACTAGAGCTGTCCCAATTGAAGTCACCATTATTATTGATTTCTTCCTTTCTCTTTCCCTCGCTCTCTCTTTTTTTTTTTCCTTTAGCCTCTTACCTTTTTTTTTTCTAACCATTTTATTATTTTTTTTACTCAACCTTTTTTTTTTTTTTTTTTTTTTTTTTTTTTTTTTTTTTTTTTTCATTTCTCAAAAAAAGTTTAGAGGAAAAACAGACGAAAAATAAAACCAGATAAACTTTTACCATCATCAATTAGCATTACCGCCTATTTATCATCGGCGGTCTTGACTTCCAATCCGTTGAATCCCTTGCTTGACCGTTACCACTTCTTCAACTTTGACTGGGTGACAAAACCATCACCGAAAGGGTCCACGGGAAATTTCCTGGTCACTGTACTTTTCTTGAGGGGGAAAAAACGGGCAGAGTGCAGCGCGCTAGCGGTTTGTTTTTCTTCTTCCTGTTCTTGGGGAAGTACTTTCTTTTACTTTGTTCGACATTCTATTGCTGCAAGTGTAAGTCTTGATTCTTATTCGAGTACTTCGGGGTTTCCTTGTCAAATCCCTACTCTATCGCCCATACTCCTCTGATACTAGCATTGACTTTCTTCTCTGCCCTCTTATCTATCATTCTTAGCCCTCTTATATTCAACCCTTCCGCACCCTACATTCTGTCACTGCTGGACTTTTTTTTTTTTTTTTTTCGTCCTTTCTGGCTTTGACTCCTTCTGTTCCATTCTCCCCTGCTTTAGATATTTTGTTTCATCATATTTTACTTTTTATTTATAATCCTTTTCTTGCATCGTTCACTGTTTATTCACCTTTTGAGTTCCATCCGCTTCACCACCAACTCTACTTACATGGTGCATACTCCCGGACAAAAGATAAAGTAAAAAAAAAAAAAGTCATTTCGCTAACCTTGGTTGCTTCTTCAGTTGTCCATCATGACAGTTGCTGCACCGCCTGTGGCACCCGTTCACGAAAATGGTATTAACGGCAGTGCCCCCGGGCACCACCATGTCAACATGAGCCTGCCACGTTTCCACCCAATCGCAATGAATCCGAGCCAACCAGTGCATCCCGAGCAAATGATGCCAAATCATTCTCATTTCCGTCCTTTTCCTCCACCTCATCCTATGCAAGAAGCGGGCCCACCGGGCCCGGCTCCTCATCCTCCTTCTCATATAGATCAGATTGATGCTCGCTTGAGGCAATTGGAACATGAAGAAGCAGCTCGTATGGCCGCTCGTAGCCACCTTCTTGCTATTCGAAAGCGGGAAGACGAAGAATTTCGTAGGATGACTGAGAGTGCCGAAGCCGAAGAAGAGGTATGCTATATACTTTATGATTAACTCGAGCACCCGCTAGATATAAGTCTGACATGGGGAATTGCCCGCACAATAGGAACTTCGTAGGCAACGGAAACGACTGAAGCGAGAATCTATGGGATTGGGGTATAATGCAAGCATGGACTCTCCGCCACTGCGGCCGACGCCGCCACGTCGTTTGTCAGAGACCAATGCAGCTACCACCCTTGCGTTCTTCAAGCAGCAAAGTCCTCCAGAGCCTCGTCCCATCCCTCCACCGCCTGTACAAGCACCGCCGTCTCATCCTCCCCCTCAGCATATGCCTCATGACCCCACTGCCGGCACAATTCGACGAAAGCAAAAATATACCATTAAAAATGTTGAGGCTTGGGGTGAACGTCATGGACGACCTGCAGCACACGACCCGTCTGGACGCGCGTTGTGGAAGCGACCATCGGATGGTAGTTTAGTGTATCTGACCTGCCCAGTTTCCGGCTGTGGAAAGGCTGACTTTGTGACGCTCCACGGTTTCATGTGCCACTTGACAAAGAAGCATAAAGATCGCAGTCTGGGTAGCCAATCAAGGGCGTTGGAAGTTTGCGGGATTGTCTATGACCCTAATGCACCCCTTCCGCCGGTATCGACGGTACCGCGTGCGTCGACCGAAGAAAGTCGCGGGGACTCGGCCCCTACAGATCCTGAAGGTTACCCACAGGAGATGGATTACTCTTCCGCATCGGATGATGACGAGAGCCGAAAGAACCCCGTGAAGATAGAGGCGGCAGATCGGACTTTACCCGTACCGACGGTCCCCTTCCCGCACCCTGAGGAGCCATCGAAAGCACGAAAGCTCAATAATTCTACAAAACAGTCGATATCCTCTATAATTGATCGTGAACCAGAAGATGAGCCCCGGGAGCGTTTAGTTTCTATCCCCCCTCGCCCAGTCGAGGCCCTATCGCGAGCCTCATCGGAGCAAAAGCCCTCCATGTCAAATGAAACTGAGGTGGCTCGGCCCGATGAACGAAATCAGGAACCAAATGAGTCGAAGGAGACCACCGAGTCAAAATAATACAATCGATCCTATTTATTTTTCTATAATACGGTCTGTTGCGCTATAAAAAAATACGCAGAACTTGCATTTGCCTCCTACGAGCACGCTTTAGCTTTTGACTACTTTGCAGCTGCGTGAATACCCTTCTATGCATTCTTGGGTGGCTTTGTCTACTTCATATTTCAATTCTCTTCGAGTAATGTAATGTCTTTTCCATCATTGCTGGTCATTCTGTTTTGGGGCGCTGGTCGACTTGCGTCTGTTCGTTTCCTGTGTCAATTTTGCTTTAACATAGTGGATACCTACGATATAAACCGATCTATATCTATGACCTGTGTGACTTTGTGGGTCACCAAGAAAAATCCCTGTTGTGGTGCTCGCGTGCATTTACTTTGCCGTGTCTCCATTGAGATCTTGCATGCCGTTTATGCATCTCTTTTATGTTACTTAATGGAATTGCGAAGCCCACTAATGGCTTTTTTGCATAATTGCAACAGACCCTTGATATTTGCCAAACAAATAAATCAATATATCATGTTTATGCCTTAAAACACACCTTCCGTCTGCTCAAGATGACCCATGACTGCAAGTGCCCTGAACGGTCGATGATCTGCTTACGCATAGAACAAATTTTCGCTACAGGACAAGCAGATAGCCATCCTCTACATGGAGGTCACCGGTCGTCACCTCAAGACTCCATACATCTCGCGGTCATAACCGGTACACCCCCCCCCCCCCACCTCTACCACATCCCACCTCTTTTTCCTTGCCAAATCTCACTCATGTCCATCCTTCAACACCAACACATGCACCAAATACCCCGAACCAGACGCCAACTTCTTCCCCAACGCCTCATCACTAACCCTCCAAACCCGAAACACCCTCATTGTCTCCCTCAACCAAGCCTCAAACACCTCAGGCGACCGCTGCTGCTGCGCAATCACACAAACCGTCGGCTTCTCTTCCCCCTCCCCCAACTCCCTCCCAGGAGCATACACAGCCCTCAACCGGCAAACATCCGCACAAGTCCGCACAAACGGCGCAATCAACGCCTCGTTATAAATACAATCACAAGATATCAGAACATCAAACCCTTTGTCCTCATGCCCTGTGTTCCCGTCATTAGTAGCAATACTATCTTTCAATGCGGCAGGATCATCCGTTTCCCAATCCAGGGTGGTGAATGTGACATTTGTGCTTTGGGGAGTTGATTTCTGTGATGTTTTGTTGCTGCTGCTGTTGTTATGTTTGGTGGGTTTCCTGTTGCTACCTGGCTTAGACTTGGGGTGTTGTTGCTTTGGGGCGTTGGCCTCGAGGTTGGACCGTAGGAGTCGATGCACGTATTCTTGGTCTGTGGCTATGTAGTGCGTGATTGTGGGGGAGAGGGTCAGGGCTATTAGGCCTGAGATTCCACAGCCGAGTTCAAGGACTGTGGATGTTGGCGTGAGGATTGTGCTGGTCCAGAAGGGGTTGGTTTGCGTTGTTATCCATTCTGCGAAGAGGGGGGTGATTTTCCAGAGGACTGGGTTTGGTTCTATGGTTAGCTCATTGAATGGTGTAGTGTTGGTGGTGGTGGTTGATAGATTGATTGGGTAGGTTGGTTGACTGATAGAGTATGTCGATAGGATATGGCATGAATGTTTGTATGCAGATAAGGTAAGATGTCCCAGGGTCGGAACGGATATAGTGGATTAAATGAATGAATTCATGTGAATGTGATAGCCAAGGATAAAAAAAAAAGGGAAAAGAGATGTTTTACCTGCACCAGTTGTACCGCCCGCGCGCGACGACGACAATAGCGTCGGAGATTGGTTAATGGTATAATCTTGTCCGTGGATGGTTACATCGACAGATGTCGCTCGTGAATCGACGAAGCCCAGATTGGCCGAGGGAATATCTTGTGCGAAGAGAAGAAAGCATTCTAACAAGGATGTGAAATTAACTAGTGCGCGCCGGCTATTTCGTGGGATTTCTTTTTTCTTAGATTTTCGTTCGGGTGATATGAGAGCATAGTAGTTCTACACGGGGGCTACAGATTGAATTGAACGTATGGAACTGTGGTGGAGAATGTTGTGAAAACATACCCTCTTCAGCATCTTCGACTTCTTCGCCGATCAATGACAGGAAGGTGGTGAGTTCTTCCATTGGGTTAGAAGGTAGCTGTGTGTTGGTGCTCTGAGTAAGGTTAGGAGGATCTTGGGAGATTAGATCGGAGGCTCGAGCTTCTAGGGTTAGGATAGTCTAGTTAGTTTGGACCGGGGGGAGAAGCTGCTTCCGCGTCTATCGGGAAGGTAAAATGTCTCGAATGGAAGCTACCTACAGTAGCCTCATTAGCAAAATCTGGACTGTTTTTTCTTGTCTTGTGATGATGCCCAGGATTTTCCCTGTAGCGCCATGTATTGCGCCGATCGGAATAGAAGCGACAGTTGAGAAGAGGGGAGGAAGTAATGTAAGTACCTAATTAGGGTTGAGTCGGGATAGCAGCCGATTGATCTACTGTACTTTTCCATGGACGAGATTTACGGAGTCGAGAGGCATTGTCCATTGTCGCAGATTTTTGTTTGCTGTCGATGACAGCCGAGGAACTTTTGGAGCAGACGTTAACTGGTACCCCTGCTGATTGGTCGATACTGGACCCACTGACTGGATATGAACAGGAAAAGTGGTGCGTAATGAATGCACTTGGTGCAGGCCCTTATGAACTCGTCAGCTTTTGTTATGCATGATTACTACTCTACGAAGGCGAATTCTGCAATGGGAGTTTTCCTCTAGTAATAAGGTAGTGAAATAATTCACTTTTTGAGTCAAGACGGAGATCTTCGAGTGTTGGGCGTTTTTCCCAACAGAATACGGATTAAAGCTTCCCCCGAAGCTCCGGCAGTATACTTTGCAAAGGAGCATGGTCGGTTTATTTGACCATGTATCGGCTTCAAAAGATACCAAAGAGACGGCTGCGGTATGAGGATTGTTTATGCAACACGGCACAGGGTCTCGGACATTATCAGAAGCCTAAGGGGTTCTTTTGTCTGAACCGCGGTAAGGGGCGAAGAGGAGAGAGAAGAAGTTCCGAGCAACCTTGTCAGTTAAAGATTTAGCCGTAGTTTTAGTCGATTTTAATCACTATGGATACCCTTTTTCTTGAGGTCTGTGTGGCATCAGGGGGGTTGTGTCTCGTGTTACCGGCAGGTTCGCAATCATATGGGATGAAACCAGAATCAAGATAAAGGAAGGGGAATCTAGGAGAACAATGGAATAAAGGAATCGTCCCCCCCCTGCTACAATAACCAAGTTCCGGTAAAGTGCAGAAGAAATTGAAAGGCAGGAACGTAGTTCCGTTCACGTCATTAGAGTGCTCAGACCGCCTTGGAACAAATGCCCAGCCGCAAAAGTCTCGCCCTGACTTCATCCGTTCAAGCTTCATCTTGAGCTGAGCCCTTTCCTTCTCCTCTTCTCTCCTCCCTCTCGTATTCCTTCCCCCGCATTTCTTTATCTTCCTCTCTCATCTGATCTCCTCTCCGACTCAATACCACATACTACCTTCCCACTCTCTGCTCTCGACAATTCGGGAGTGAAGAGTCGCTGTTGTGTTCCCGTACAGCTCGTATCCACGACTTAATATTCTCCGTAAGTTGTTGTTTTGAGTTCTGCCACCCTGGAGTTGATCCGTGGGTTCCTGTTATTCGCACGTTTTTTGTCCGCTCGACTCTGAGCATTTCAGATCCTCTTCCTCGGTAACCGGCCGACTAATTCCTTTAAAAGCCAGTTCCCTTTTCCTCCCAACTTTTCTCTTGTATTAATACCCCCCGTATTCTCGTAATTCACCCGCCAAGATGTCACTACAAAACGCTCATCTTCAACCGCGCATTTCCAAGAAGGGCCCCTTTACAGTGGAGGTTCCTGGTGTTGAGGCGAAGCCTGGCGAGACTGTTCCCCGTCGACTGCCGGCGGCAAAGGATGGACTCATCCTGAAACCTGCGGAAGATGTTGCAACCACCTATGATGTCTTCCGCCGCTCTGCGCGCGTGTTTGGTAACGCAAAGGCCGTCGCAAGTCGCCGCTTGATCAAGACTCACGAGGAGAACAAGAAGGTCAAGAAGGTCATCGATGGTGTCGAAAAGGAGGTCGACAAAAAGTGGACATACTTCGAGATGAGCGGTTATACCTACAAGAGCTTCGTCGAGTACGAACAAGTGGCTCTCCAACTTGGTGCGGGTCTGAGGAAGCTTGGACTCGAGGCAGGAGACAAGATCCATCTCTACGGTGCAACAAGGTGAGTGTGCGGTTTGACTCGCAGAAATGAAGTATATTGGTGAACTGGCTGACGCAGATCCTTAGTGAAAACTGGCTGGCCATGTCACACGGTTCGTTACAGCTGTCTTGCGCGCGATGGTGTTCCGCATACTAATTTTGAGCAGGAGCTGCATCCCAGTCATTGACTATCGTTACCGCCTATGATACCTTGGGAGAGGATGGGTTGAAACACTCTCTCGTCCAAACATCCAGCGTTGCCATGTTCTGCGATCCCAACCTCGTTCCCTCCGTAGCCAATGTACTTAAGGACGTCAAGTCGATCAAGCATATCATCTGGAACTCGCACCTGGCACCCAAGCAGGCGGACCTGGAAAGGCTGAAGTCTGAGCACGAGGACATTAATGTCATCAGCTTCGAGGATCTCCGGACCTTGGGTGAACAGAATCCGGTGGAACCTGTTCCACCATCTTCTGAAGATCTCTGCTGCATCATGTACACCTCCGGATCTACCGGCCCGCCGAAGGGTGTTCCTCTCTCCCACGGAAACGTCATCGCTGCAAGTAAGCTAACCCAATTGTTCGCGCCCTGATATGTCAAACTAATATCGAGTAGCCGCCGGTATTAATGCAATTGTCGGACCATACATTGGGCCTTCCGATGCTCTGTTGACTTATCTCCCCCAATCGCATATCCTTGAGTTTATGTTCGAGAACCTCTGTCTATTCTGGGGTGGTACCATGGGTTATGGAAACCCACGGACATTGTCGGACGCTTCGATGCGTAACTGCAAGGGCGACATTCGTGAATTCAAACCTACGATTCTTGTCGGTGTGCCCGCGGTGTGGGAATCAGTGAAGAAGGGTGTGCTTAACAACTTGAACAAGAATAATTTGATTGTGCGAGGCATGTTCTGGGGTGCTATGGCCGCTAAGAACTTTTTGATGACGACCGGGTTCCCTGGTCACACTGTGGGCTCTTCATTACTGGATGCTATCGTCTTCAAGAAGTTGAAGGAGGCGACTGGTGGCCGGTTGCGCATCATGATGAACGGTGGTGGTCCAATCTCGAAGGATACCCAGAGGTTCCTGTCTATGGCCGTTGCCCCAATGATCAGCGGATATGGTCTCACCGAAACCTCGGCTATGGGTGCTCTGAATGACCCGATGGCCTGGAACCCAGACGCCCTCGGTGAAATGCCTGCTTCTATTGAAGTGAAACTCGTTGACTTCCCTGATGCCGGATATTTCACGAAGAGCAATCCCCCACAAGGAGAAATCTTCATCCGTGGAGGTAGTGTGAGCAAAGGCTACTGGGACAATGAGGAGGAAACCAAGGCTGCCTATACCGAGGACGGGTGGTTTATGACCGGTGATATCGGCGAGTTTGATAAGAACGGCCATCTTAAGATCATTGACCGCAAGAAGAACCTCGTCAAGACGCAGAATGGTGAATATATCGCTCTCGAGAAGCTCGAATCTGTCTACCGCTCCTCTCCCCTTGTGGGCAACATTTGCGTCTATGCCGCTCAAGATCAGGACAAGCCTATTGCTATCATTGTTCCGGTTGAGGCCGCGTTGAAGAAGCTCGCCCACGAGAATGGCATTGAGGGTGACACGCTGGAGACTTTGGTTCATAACGAGAAGCTGAAGGGGATTGTTCTCAAGCAGCTCCAGACCGCGGGTCGTGCGGGCGGTCTCAAGGGCATTGAGATTATCAACGGTGTGGTGTTGGCTGACGAAGAATGGACCCCCCACAACGTAAGTTATCACTGCTTTCCATTGATTGCAATAGTATCACTAACTTGCTCTAGGGATACATGACCGCCGCTCAGAAACTCCAGCGCAAGAAGATCGTTGGACACTTCCAACAAGACATCGACCGTGCTTACAACAAAAAATAAATGACGGAGTCACTGACGTTACGCTGAAGCCGAGTAAATCATAATCATATATATCTCTTAGTTTATTCCGATGTCTGGTTTATTTTGCTATGTACTGCATTGCCAGTTCGGGTTGTGATCGTTTCGTTTTCCTCTATCTAAGCTGTGTATTTCCTTAGTTTTTTATTTTCTTTTTTTATTTTTTTTTTTTCTTTCTTTGTTCAAATATCCCTAGGACGGCGATTGAAAATGTGTCTACGTTATCTTCGCATTAGTAAAGAGCATAATGAATTGCAGATGATTAAATGCATGCTCCTCCTAGCCAATTAATTTGATGTCCATGCACATTCACTTTAACCTGCAGGAATTGATAGCAGTATGAAGTATCATACATTTATATATGACAAGCCCTTCTACTAGCCGTAATTGCAGTTAGTGCAATGTAGGGCAGGGTAATACACACCAACACCCCCCTCACCCTGAGTGAAGCCGGAAATACCATTAACCATATACGCTATTAAATTGCCCATTTAGCCTTAAATTGACGAAGCAATATACAGTGAAGCCAAGTCATGAGGACGCCCTTCGCCACATAGCTAGGCGTGTTAAATGCGAAGACATGGACTTAATTCATCAGGAACTTGTATTTCATAAAGCTCCTTGTTATTTAGTTAAGCAACCATAAGGGCAAGCAAGAAATTAGTCTTCAGTCATTTCGGAGCTCGATTTGAGGACCTCCATGGAATCCTGGGAGATGTGGGAGATTAAAGGGATTGGCACATACTCAACACAAAATGATACACCGAGCGCACCGATTCAACCCACTGGGCCTTTCTTCTACATATTAACCTGTACAGCACCGACCTTTGCCTTTCCACTAATAATGTATCGAATCAACCTTGATAATACACGTATAGCGTCAAGCCAGTCTTCCATGAAACACAGATTATATCCCCGTGTGAACTTGAGACTAAAAGCCTCATGTTCTGAGTATCCTTCGGCATGAACTCTCGTGATAAGGCCTTTTGGAAAGTATCCATGCGCAATATGAAGATATAGCCCATGGACCAACTATGAAAACTTCCTGATCCTCGAAGCCGGTCCGCAGAATACTAAGGTTTCTAGTAAGCTGGCCCAGCATCGCACTTTAAGTTTCAATCACGAATTCATTCCATGTCTGATTTTCGAGCCCCTAAAGGATATTAATAACGCTGGCTATTTTAATAGGAAGAGATATAGATATGGTATATACATACCCCAGTAAAAGAAATAATGGGTAGGTATTGAGCTCGTGGTTCAACAATAGCCGCGCCCTCCACTCTAGTTCTATATCGGTTACCGCCGATGGTATATTTCAACTCACGTGGAGAGGCCATGAACCTAGAACGTTTTATATTACTAGCAATATACACAGACAGAAGCATGGAACTTACTGAACCCTGGGCCCTTGCTCTTTGATACCTCAAGATTAAAATAGAAATTCTCCATCAATACCCTTGTCATTGAGCACTGTGCACGGATAAACAATCTGGAATACTCTCTTATAGCTATTTCCCAGCTTGTCTTAGGTGTGGTGGTTATCTCGCTGGCTGTGAGAATATTCGAGATCAAGGTATCACTGGACGTATTATTTTTCACCGGCCCATAGACTTCCGAGTTCAACATGGAAGGTATATAGCTCGTAGAAGAAAAACTTGAATTTGCAGTCTATTTCGGGCCAGCTAAATGTGCAATCTTTATCTGCGATAGCTGAATCTTTGAAGACCCAAGGGATGAGTCTGTCCACGTCCGTATCTTGGATAATACCCTGTCAACAGAAAGGTGTTATCAGAGAACAGGGATATATTTACCTTCAGTTTCACAATCTACGACTCTGGGTATCAAGCTATCAATGTCGGTAATTTTGGAGTGAATAGTTACTGACATGCTGATGAAGAACAGGGCATAGTAGTTGCTAGTGTGGCGGCTGGTAGTATAAATGTACGGAGTACTTTTATTGCGGTTATTATGCTGTTAGGGAAAAGTCAGCCAGCCAATGAAAATATGTGGATGCTAACTACCGTATTGGATGAGTACTAGATTATTCCAAGCTGGCTCTTATTACCGATTATTCTATTCTATTATAGATTTAGATTCGGCCGAATAGCAAACTATGTACAAAGAGTATAGACTGCGCTCAAGTGTGTTCACCATGCCCGAGATACTAATTATCATGTGTATCTATTGACATAATTGCTCCTTTTCCAGCATCTATGTGTAGGGTATGAAGATCTGATAACGTCGGGTAGACAGGACAATCCTCTTTCAGATAATCAAACCATTAGAGTAGTGTAAGGAAACGTAAAACCTTGACGCTAGGTAAATCAGCGATCATGATGTACTACATACATCGTGGCCATTGGCCGTTGTAGGACGTCAAAGTAGGTAAAAGCAAGTTGCTATCTTTTTACTTGCCTGCTGGTTATACAAAGGGCGACAAGTTATCTCATGTTTTTAAGAGTCGAACTAATATTTTTAAATCGCTCGACTTTTGATAAAAGGCATTTTTGACGCGCTACTTTCCATTCAAGGACAAAAGAGACATTAAATCTATGGCGATAAGACGTAAATGCCATATGACAAAGCAAGCTATATTCATTTTACCTTCTATTTTAACGATGGTTTACTAATAATAACTGATGAATTGATACCGCCTACTATTAGATGTATCCACAGTATAGTAGAGAAATCAGTTTCCCGTTGCGTTCAATGGGCTGAAATCAACCTCATGGAGGATCTACATCTTAAGTATGGAACATCCTATAAAAAGAGATTTATAAGATGCAGGAGGCATTTTTCACTGTAAAAACCACGATAAGGATCAAGGTAGCCCTAATTTATCAAGTGGCGGGACAGAAGAGGGGAAAAGCTCTGGATCTTTACCTAGTGCGCTTTGCTGAGACAACTCCCGTGTTGACTTGACTATGGTCTATTCTATATGTTAAATGACTATAGCACGGACCTAAAAAATTCTCTGACACCACGGAAAGCTGGGAGACACATTTCCGAGTCTACCTAGAGCGGTACTGACGGAGCTAATATGGCAGAGAGCAGCATGCATGTGCAAGAGTGAAAGGACTGATATCTAATGCGCCCAAAACCTTCCATTTTGCTAGTGGTACTAGTTAATACATTAAGATTGCAGTGACAGTACTATAAATGATTCAAATCCTGTAGGGAAATCAACGTAGGTTGTTTGAAGTGAAGAGTGAAAGTGACTGACCGCATGAGTACACCTGTGAATCACTGCTATACAAAGCTTTCAAAGTTAGAAGACACCATTAGGACTCTTTTCCTTCTGTCATATCTTTAGTAGGCTCAGAGTTTGGCCACTTGTTAGCATAAGACAAGACAGCTGTTCGGCTTCTCGACCAGATCCGCTTAGAAGTGTCACGAGTGGCCTAAGAGACTCGCACCATGTCTTAAGGGCAGTTAGTATGCCTGGGGATAAGCTAGATGCCTGGCGAAATCAGACAGCGAACGACGGAATTCAAGCGACCTTCCACTTTCCGGCGGTTCCGCCCGACGCCCGTTATATATTCGTCGTTGCACGGTATAAGAGTTAGGTTGTCAACAAGCCTAAATCACTGAACTCGCTGTGCGCCGCAGCCGGCTTTGGACAAGCAGGCAAAACTTTTGGTCGCCCACGAGGAACTCTATGTCACGTGTGAAAGTCCCACTGCGTTGGAAGTAGCATGCCGTTTGTGTTCGAGAAATTGGAACGAGGTATACATGATGATCAATGTCGAATCTGGGATATAAAATGATACTGCGGCAGATAACGCTGGAAGTAGTGGCATAGATCTCTCTCAAAGAATTCCCTTAGGTGATACTACCTTTCAGTATAGCCCACTACTGTTTACCATGCATCCATAAAATATCTTTAGGAGATTTCGCTAACAGACCGTCAGGTACTATATGATATACCTGCACCATGTCGATATATTCCTTTCGGTGGCCAAGCTTGGTGATCGCTACATAGCGTATCTTCAAGGGGAACGGGAAGATGTGCCAATCGAGGACCTGATAGCCAAGGACTTTTCAGAAAGAAAGATGGATCTGCAGGCGTTCCCTATGTAACCGTTTTCTAAGCACTTCAAGCGGTCCCTAACTGCTTACTAACTGCTTAAAATGCGAAGAATGAAACTGCCCTTCACTATGGTGAAGTCTTTTGCCAGATTGAAGACTGCACTGAAGCCAACGTATGGCCCTTTCTGCACGGCTTCCTGAGTACTTCCTAAGCACCTAGGTAACCCTTTGTTTCTTTACTTAGAACATGTTAGCCGGTTTTCCAACTACTTTAGAAGCAATTTTCGGCCACTAACAATCTGCGCACACATCTATGCAGTTATAAGAATGTGGAGGTTCCCACATAAGAGCGACACTTTGGAGACCGTGCTGCTGAAACTTTAGAAGGCTTCGGGAACCCGCTTAGAAGAAGTAAAATGGCGATATTCTGTCGTTGATTGCAGGTAGATGTGTTCAACAGGGAGATCGGGCAACCGATATCTCCAGTGCCCAAGAGATTGATGTCTCTAAACAAGCCGATGACTATACACCAGAACATGTTTGGATCAGGTGAGCATGGAGACACATGAATGCCATTTTTAAGGGGAGGATTGATGAACCCGCTTACTTTCTCTGGAACCCAGGATTCTTTTTATCCGGACAGATCTTCAGTTATTCATTGAATTCGGCCTCAAGAACTGTGAGCACCGTAAGGTACCAGATGCGAGAGACAATATCTTAAGACGAGAGGTCCCAACACTTAAAATATACAAACAATATCATGCAACCAACGGGGTAATCATCCCTGATACTATTGGAGGCCAATGTTACTCTATCTTTCTCAAGCCCTATCTTAATGGCCGACTGCCATACAATTCTATTGCATTGATATCAGCGCCCAGGTAGTAGCACGAGTTCCCTTGACCTGCCTTGAATGGTACTTCTATCTATTAGACAGTCCGCGATTTTTAGACAAGCAGATACGCGGTGAGCTAGAGAAATTACATGGCCTATATTTTCGGCCAAGGGGGGGATTCACCACACTTGCTTAACGAACTGGATGGTGTCCTCATCGGGTCACAACTCAACATAAATGCTCTTCTTTACCCCTGCGAGAATTTAATGGGAGATTAGTTGTATCTTTGAACAGATACTAAACCAAACAACAGGATACTCCTCAACAAGACAGATTGTCCACAAAATTCCCACCATAATCTCGGCGGTATAGGGAATACTTGATAAATTCATGGGACCCCTTGTCGTCGCTGGCTACATTTTCTGATCGCCAGACGAACTTTCCTCTCAACTCAAGACTTGGACCGCCGAACCACTGAAGAAAACATACATGCAGCATGTTCATGAAGCTCTGGGAAAGGTCAATAGATTGTTGAGAAATACGACCTAGCATGCGATGCTTTGTGGTCTGTAGGCAAGGATACACTGGGGGGTGACTTTGTCAGAGTCAGAAAGGGTATGCTTTAGGCTTGTCAACTTATTCAATATCAATTTCGAAGATTAATTTTATAGTTGATTTTATATAGGTACGAAGCCCGTGTTGGGGCATGTGCACCTCAATCACTGGAAGAGCTTGAAAGGGTCCTGAAGCTAACTGGCCTCGTGGGTAATCTCTAAATCTATAGATGATCACTTCTTCACATGATTGATAGCCTACTAACCCAACTAGAACAGACGATATAAAACGGCCAATGAAACCTTCAAAACCTGTTCGTTTATTCATGAACATTGAAAGAGATCAAAAGAGGAAGACAAGGTCGATTATCTTGCCTGGCGGTTTGTGGTTGGGAAGATGATAATGGACAGGCTGGTCGAAGGCCATGTTTGGTCCAAGCTAGTCAAGCTTCTCTCTGCTTGTTTGGCCACGATAATCACCTGTAACCTGGTCAGATATACCGGGGTATGACTAGTACTTATAATCTATTCATCCAGTCATTGGTATTATGATTACTAGGATTTATTTAAGCGGTCCTAATAATATAGCTCAAGTTAAAATGGCTATCAAGATCTGAGGAATATCCAAAGGTACACAGCTCCTACTCGACGTGGCAAATCTAAGTTGATTCTACTGTACTAGTTGTTAATCAGCTGCTGACTAGACACTGATTGCTCTCTTTGATTAACCTCACGGATTCTAGATGTGTCTGACACCTGATTATTTACAAAGGCAAGCAACTCGAGTCATCTCATGGCTCGAGGACCAAGGATGCTATGAGAATAAGCAAATCGTGTCAGCAATGATATTGGTGCATCAATAAACCTACGGTGGGCATGAAGCCCAACAGGCAATGAACTCCTCACCATCGAAATGTATGGCAGCTGGTTTATTGTCACCTTTGTGACAATTATAGAAAGGTATCAGGAATCAATGAGCCTCCGAACAATGATAACTTCATACAGACAAGACCACGATCATTGTATATAGACATTGAGCCCTAACAACGGGTCTCAGGATCTTATTGTCTACATTACATGTATGCTTTGTCTGATAGTTGAGGAACATAGAATCAAACACAAAATCAACGATGATACAGTGACCGGTATACTCAAACTATTGGAGCTTCATGTATGAAAGGCCTGTGATTGAAATGGACCATGCATCGTATGCCCTTTCTTTCTGTTTTATTATCATCATCACATTTTATCAATTCCTATCCCTATCCTCGTTTCTCTCCATATATTCCCCAAACACACCTCTCCATCTTTCCCCCAATCCCTAGACCCAGTAATGCACCCCCAAATACGTAAATACATTCAAAGACCACCAGACAAACTCCATAAGAAAGAGAGAGAAGAGAGAAGAGAGAAAAGAAAAAATGCCCCCGCACAAAATCTTCCTCATCCCCGAAATCCTCGAACAAATCCTACTCCAAACGGCCCCCCAAACCCTCTTAACATCCGCCCAACGCACCTCCCAAGCCTGGCATAACTTAATAACAACCTCCCCCAAGCTCCAAGAAACCCTCTTCTTTAGACCCGAACAACCCCCAACCCTAAACAACAAAACCCACCGCACCCTAAACCCCCTCCTAGCCCCCAAAATCTGGCCTCACCTCTTCCGCAAACGCCTTAACTCCCAGACAACAACAACAACAACAACCACAAACTACGGCTACAGCCTCCCCGCCGTCGACCCCCTCGAAGAGGAACTCTACCTCCGACCAGGAGCCAGCTGGCGTCGCATGCTCGTGCAACAACCGCCGACCTCGTCTATCAGTGTCTTTGTCATGCATCGCTCGTGGATTTCCTGTGATGAAGATATATCTCCGGTGAAGGTCTTCACGGCGGATGTGGAGTTTCTGACGTTGGAACATCTACATTGGTCCGCTGTTGTGGGGTGTTTGATGCCGCTGGAGAGGGTGGGTTGTTTTTGGGATTTTGCTGATTACCATAAGGTGAAGGATGTGGAGTGGAGGAGGGAGATGGATTTGGCGATGGAGAGGTTTGGGGATGTTTGTGATGTTGTGGTTTTTACAAGCGGGAATTGGGATCTTTGGAGGGTTTTGAGTGGGGTTGTGGATTGTTGATTTTCTTTTCTTCTTCTTCTTTTGGTTTATGGGGTTGGTGGTGGCTGTTTGATTTAATTGAGGGTTTGTTGAAATATGTATATAGTCTATTAAACCTGGTGGCTCTAGGACCATGTGGACTGCTGTCGTACTACGATTGTAGTGTTGGAAAACGGTAAGTGGAAGAGTCTCTATGTTGATGTTCTTTGGGGTTTCTCGTTTCTCCTAGTTTGGACCTCATGTCTGTTGCTGGGAACTTCGATATGGATGGACTACTTTGATCGTCATGTATAAGAGGATCAGACTCTTTAATGTTTACTTCATACGAAATATCATCTGAGTCCTTGAGTAAAGTTATATATCTATAGTTTTGGCTATTGGAAGCATGGAAGAGCTTCTAGTTAGTGTTGAGGAAAGTAGGGCTATTATCATGGACTAAAGAGGCTGTATAACAGAGGATAGAGAAAGATAGGAAAGAGAATCGATGTAATAACTTCATCGTTCATTTAGTAAAAAAGGTAGTCATCTTGTTAATGTTTTGAAAGTCTACTACGTCTATTGAATTACACGCTAGGTGATGTCCGAGCAAAATGTATATAGTTCTAGGAGATAGTTGGCAGCCTTAAACAAATGGGCACAGCCTGCGGTGCAATATCTCAATTGGTGGGATTGACCATGTTTCAAAAGCAGTATACGCAATGCTCCTTCTAATGGGGCGACCTATCAAACTAACAAAATTGACGGGGTGGAGACCGCTGAATCAGTGCTGATAGTGGAGGTATTTTTGCACAGTATAGAAACAAGGTTCCAAACTTAACCTAGCAGACTAGATCCATGGGTAGCTACGTGACTAGCTTGCATATTTGAGTTCCTTACACATCCCGGCTAAAGCGAAAGGTCTTTTCCGGACTGAGGTTATACTTGACCCTTGTATAGCACCAGGAGCCACCAAAGAAGGTCGGCGGAGGACGGAGGACGGAGTACCGATGGCACGGGTGGGCAGAATTAAAAGCGGTGAGGAGGGACCCACATCCCTCAGGCCTGAGGCAATTAATCTCGTCTAGGCTAACCCTTCCAGGACTGGTGACCTTTTTACCTCTTGACGTGACCGTCACTCGGAGATAACAAGGAGGTCCTGCGAGTTGACACACCTCACCATCCACCTGGCAAATCAACGATCTACAGATATGTCTCTCTGGAGGTGTGTATATTCCCTTCCTGTCGATGACCTTTTTCCAAATTGGGCCTAATCCCCTGCCGCTACTAGCTCCTACCGTTCTTTGTCGCCGAAAACAAGGGCTCTTTTCGGAGTCGGCGTGATGGCTTGGGCGTCGATTGGCCTCTGGGTTTTACCAGAAGTAGAAGGCGCCATGGGCATGTCTCCAACAAAGCAGGAGCAGGATGAGTTGGATCGTAAGATGGCGATTCGGATCTCGCGGGTGGATAAGGATGGTCACTGAAGAAGGGCCCTAGTGTGATGGAGGGGGCTTAGAGTTTATTTGCAGTCGGCCTCTTTTTCACTGACGAATGCCTAGACTGTGGTCGGCCGAGTCAACTTCATCGTGTGACCGCGGGCTTAAGTCAAAGCTCCGGAACAGTCGGCGGGAGCGGACGCCCATTGGGAATTGAGATGACAGGAAGTCAGCAACGGACGGACGCAAGGAGGGGGCGAAGAAAAGGTTGGGTAAATACCAAAGAAGAAGGTCTTTCAGGATACTCAAGCAAGGCGCCTCTATACCGTACCTCTTGTTCATCGCGTGCTGTGGGCTGTCAGAAGTTTGTTTGGCGCAACACAACATCCGGAGACCGTTTCGTGAAACCGAGATACAATGCATGGAATGTTGGGGTGGGAACAAAGAGGCGGGATGGCAAGACGGGGAGACCGTAGAATAGCTGGACATTGGCTCAGATCGTACGAATGAGATCTATGTAAATTAGAAAGCTAACCAGGATGCAAAGATTCAACAAAGTTTCGGAGGAATGACTGTCCGCTTAAGAGTCTCCTTGGCAGCGAGACTAGTAATGAAAGGGAGCCGTTAACTTGAATAGCAAATCCACCCTGACAGAGGTGCGCACGGTCGTCTGAGTCTCGTACATTTCAAGGATTTTAGGCTTAAACAACCTGGTCCGTGTTTTCGGGCTCTGGAAAGGCTGGGATCTGAACCCGAAACTAGAGACACACAAAAGACCCTGGGACCTTCCAGCCTTGTGATGCTTAGCCATTGGCTACTGGATGGCATGCGCCATGTTTTGAAGAGTCCAGCCGGGCAAGAACACTCTGAGCACATCAATGGAACTTCATACATGCGTCGTATGTCGTCTGTACCCGGTAGGGGAGGGTTTCAGGGGTCTTGATAAGCCAAGTCCCAACCGTTACTCATAGAAAAGGGAAAATGAGGACCTTAGTGAGATTTAGTGTCATGGTGTCCACGCAGATTGGATGCAACGTTGCACAACCATCCACTTTTTTTTTTGTTTTTTTTTTTTTTTTTTTCAAAACAGAAACACGCGCCTTGTTGGTTGCTTTTTCCTCAACAGCTATTTTGTCCCGCAGTTAGTCAGTATCCTGTGGCTTGCAACGTTGTTAACAGCCCATCTATCATACTCATACGTTTTCATCTCTCTCCGCCGGGTCGACCCCTTGTACGACGTGCATAAATGGGCCACCTTAAGAGGGAGGGTTATTGCATGAAGGCTACCTGGAACAGCTAGTGACTGAATCACTTATCGGTATCTGTGCGCTTGGTAATCTCTGGGAACGAGGGATCCCATTCTGACTGGCCTATAGATTGACCGATGGGTCAATTTATGTGAGATGAGATGAGCATGTCCTGCACATCTCACTGGTGCGGAGGTTATCCACGCCTGGAGTTCTGCGGGGGGGTATGAAAGAAGTGACTCCAAATACAGACCGAAAATAGAAAAGAGAAAAGGGAAATGCAGTAACCATGCATGTATAGAAAGAGCGTAAACAACGCACTGAAACCAGAAACGGGACTCATTGATGGTCCACACCAGACGATCGACTGGAATGGTCGGAACGTGCCGAAGTGTAGGTCAAGTGGAGTTGGAGTCTAGTCGGCTTAACTCATTTGGGCAGTAGTCAGGGTCTACTACGATTCCACCAGGGCTGTTGATCCTTCGCGCGAGAAACTATCGGTGTTGGTACATATATCCCCTAATGCATGTTAGGTCGATCCTCATGAGCCCACTGACGATCACCTCCGTTAGTCTCGTCTTCCTTTTGACGTTCGTCGAATGGCGGATCTCATACGTTTTTGGCGACATAGTGCGGTGAGGGTGACTGACTGATAAGGCGCATATTCTCGAGATCCCTAGTCCTGAACGAATGGATGAATCGGGTGCCAGCAGGCAACCTCTCCATACATACGTTCATACATGACATGACAGGACCGGACGTGACAAAAAAAAAAAAGGTGGGCAAAGCAATAGAAGATGGGAAAAAAGAAAAAAAAGAAAAAGGAGGTGAGAGCGCAGCCCAACACCGCTTAATGCTGGTGACCGCCAACTTTGTCTGGCATAATTGTTTGGCATGTTGATGCCTCCTTAAGTTGCCAGTTTCTTTTTCTTCGTAAAGGAAAAAACGAAAAGAAGAGCAACAGTACAAAACCAATACAAAATGACCAAAAGCTGTTTCCTCCTTGTACGGTGTGCGTTGTCATTCTATTTCATTCAGCCTCGGTTTTATTTAAATTTATTTTATTTTTTGTCCTCTGTGTCTTTTGCGCGTTTTTGGTGCTTTGTCCCAACATATTCCGTTTCTAGATACATGCTTTGGACTTCAAGGGGCTGACACGTAGCCGCTCCCTCTTGACACTATTTCTATGAGTAAACTTAAATACTGACAGCCGTGTGAACAATCCGCTTCTGCGTGCAGTTGTCAAAACCCTGACAGCGGACATGTCCTAGTTTAGGTACTTGAAGCAAGGCAACTTCATATCGGAAAAAATGGCGTCCCCAAGAGCCAATGGGCATACGACCCAAAACATCAATTTAGGTTCGTGTTCTTTATCCTAACCTAATAATTCATGCTCCCGTTCAACCATCCCTGGTGCGCCGTCATGATTCTCACCTTTGCCATTGGTTTCCGCCGACGGCTACGGCGGTATCTGCACAGCTTAACCATACTGTCGGAGACATTGTCAACTTCTCTTCCACGAAGCATCTACACGTGTTTTTTTTTTTTTTTTTTTTTTTTGGAACCTTCACCCCAATCTTTCGCGGGGTACGTACGACAGTGTCAAATAAATGAACCTAGTCCAGGACCAGGATCCAGAAGATAGGTTTTTTGAGAAAAAAAAATAGTAAATAAGAAATAAAAAATAAAAAATGGCAGGGAGGAGAGAGAAAATGGACAAGAGAAGTTTAGGTTGTAGGAAAGGGGAGAATAAGTGGGAGAAGGACAGAAAAGGATTGACAGAATTTATAGACCTCTTACCAGATCAGAAGAAGAAGGGGCAAAAGAGAAAAGTAAAATGAAAGTGAAAGAAACAGCGAGACAGACAAATCACTAGTTAGTTTCATGTAATTCAGCTTGGATGAACGAATCTGAAAATCAACTCAAGATGGTGGTCTATCTCGCTGGCCATGATCTGAAGCTTATCGTAGAATGTAAACAAAGAAACGGACCTCCAATCTTTTCGTCTCTTCCAGGCCATGACCCAAACACAATAACAATACCATAAGATAAATAGAAAAGAGCAGCTGGTGATGCATTAATCATAAGGGAATTTTGGTTCGAAGGTCCGAGAAAAAAAGGATAAAAAGATAGAAACAAGACGTAGCAAAATAAATCGGAGGAAGATGAATGAATGAAAAAGGTATCAAAGAGGACCACAAGGCTAAGCGCATAGGCTCTGGGAGCCCTGGAATCGAGTACTATTGGAGCGTGCTGAGTAAATGGGGTCATAGCTGCTGCTGGTAGTGGGATGATGATACATATGAGGTGCCATTCTGGCTGGGTGTTTCAGGTAGTGTGGAGGCTCGTTGTGTCCGCTTGATATCATGGATACCATCGGATCGAATGACTCATGAAAGGTTGTGCTGGGTTCCTCACTAGGCTTTGAGACAGTCTCATACTCGAAAGGGCGCAATTGGTGGCGGAACTGGCTTTCAGGCTTCCGGGCGTCTAGTATTCCGAAGCTGGAGTCATGATACGAATCAATGCTTGACGTGCTCTTGACGGGGTCCATGTGATCCATGGAATCACCCAGAACGCCTATATCGAAGGCCGATGATGATGAGGATGAGATGTGTGGGCTTCCACTTAATGGGGAATGGCCAGTTGTTGCTATTTGGCTATAGTCAGCCCGGCCATAGTGTGGACCGCCGCGCTGCGAAGAGTCGTACGACATGAGGGCCAAGTGAGACCGTGCAGCTGCTCCCATGCCTGGATGTAGCACAGCCCCTCCACTGCCGTCGCCTGAGCCACCGCTTCCCCCATCGGGACCCATACTTGTTGAGCTGTCTCGACGGCCATCTTTGTAATGGCCTGGGGAGCGACCGCGCACCACCATTGGATGTGACAGCTTCCTAGCAATCTTGATCCACTGGGACTCAGCAATTTCTGCGTAAAGGTCGACAACCAGGTTGTAGTACTGCTGCTGGGCTCGGCGCTTCCCGTTATTAGCTGTGGCCTTTTGAAATTGAATGCGCTCAAATGTATGTTGCGTCGGAGGCTGCGAAGGTTGCGGAGGACTATTATATGAGCCGTTATAGTCGAGAGGCATCCCTACAGATTGAGTGGCCAGGCCAAATGTATGCTGACTGCCACCAGATCCCGACGAATGGCCAAGGACCAATGGTGGTGGCTGAGAGGGCTGTAAAATAACTTTCCCAGGTTTCCTCTCTGACTGTTTATCCCGCTTTGGCGTGTGTTGGACTAGCTCGCGGACTTCGCTAAACTGTTGATTCACAATGGCTGATATTGACATGGCAAATTGTACAATACGTTCGGTTCCTTGGTCATATTTGAGGTAGAGAGGCGCATGGGTCCACGGGTGTAGTGAGAAAGAACATGAGACAGAGAAGTAATTTCTCCGATAACAGGTCCACTTTTCATCGACCTGAAAGAAGCCCTTATGTATCTTCGCCTGGATTTCTGTTTTAATGGTTTGATTGCCGCAGACGATTTGGTGTATAACATTAGTCTCGCCGAAAGGGGGGGCGTCTGTCATCGGTGGTGGCATGCGCTGGACCGGCTCCATCAGCATGTTCCCCGGTTGACCATATAATAAATTTTGAGAAGTTCGGTCTATAGTGCTTTCCAAAACTCGCGGGGTAGTGGTGTATTGCGACATTCTGGACATATCACTAAGGCTTGACAACGAGGGAAATGTACCTCGTTGAAGAGTGTATGTTCCAGGATAACTGTCGTTTCTACCCAGAAGTCCAGCACTTCCAGATACTGCTGCACTCTGCGAATGCATTGGAGAAATACCGGTAGGTGGTTGACTTTTCACCAGTTCGTATCAATCAATGCTCATCAACAAGCTGGTAAAGAACGAGGGTGACTGGCTTACAGAGGGGGTACCCGATGAGATCTGAATTCTGGCATTCTATCGAATGGCAGCCCCGGCGAATGCGAATAGATTGAGGCCGATGCGGGAGAAAAGGTTTCTATTGGGGAGAGCATCAGTCACATTACCTCAGTATTTGGTAGGCTATAGATATGACAAACCAGGGCAGGAGTCAGTAGGACTCATGAGAATTGTCGGAGATGTTGCAAAGCTAAAAAAAAAATCACCTAGACTTAGTAACCATGCATATTCCCCGGAGCTTGCCAAATAGACAGACAAGGGAAGATAGAGCTAAAATAAAAATTGCAAAAAAGCGAATCAAAACCGCATATCGCCAGCGCATCACAAGAGGACACGACACATATAAATCAGCCAGGGGTGAACTGTAGGCACATATCGAGGTTCTATGACACAACCCGAGGAGTAGCATCAAAATGCATGTAAGTAGGACTCAAGCTAGAGAACAAAAACGTAAAATTTTATAAAACATAAAGTAAGTGATATCAAGTAAAACTGAACAAGAAAAAGAAAATTATAACAACCATACATAACCGGGAATATTTGGGGGGGGGGGGAAGGGAACTATCATGGCACCGCCATTCCACGCATTCAGGGAAGGGGGGAGATGCTGTGACCAGTAACTGCAAGTGGATAAAAGTGGAGCACAAAGGGTAGTCGGAATTAGAAGACAACTTACGGCACATCCTGCAGCGCAGACTGCTGTGTGTTGTATCTCAAACCGTTCGTCGCAGGTATCGAGACAGGTTGCGCCAAAGGATGTCCAACAGCACTGCCTCTGCGACTATGATCCTCATCATCCATGGGGAAGCCGATTGGGCCAGAGAACGGCCGTTGGCCACCTGTATAGTCACTATCGGTGGTAATTGGACCGTCCATTTGAAAAGAATTCTGCAGTAGAGTTGCTGCTGGTGAAGAGAAGCATGATCAGAACGATGGGGGAGCCACAATACAGATATACAAGAGAGCCGAATGCGCCAGAGCAAAAGGAAAAGGTACTGAAGGTAATCGGACATTTGCTAGTCAGAATTGAAATAGGGTCTTCATCCTTGACGGCCAAGACGACAACAGTCCTTGATGTCATATCGATACAGGGAAATGAAGAAATACCAGGATTGTGTAACAGAGCAGATTCCCTAAAAATACCAACGAGACGGGAAAATAAACGTTCATGTAGATCGCTCGTCATAAGCAATCTATTGGGGGGGTCACGGGTGCAGGAAGAAGATCCGATGTTGGAGAGAGAGACAGAGAGCGAATAATAAAAAAAGGAATAACAATAATAAAATAAAATCAGAGAAAGGGGGGGAAAGAAGACATCATAAAATACAATACCATCAAAAGAAATACCAGAAAATGAAAACAAACCCTAAAGAAATAATAATAACAAATTCCAAATAAAATAAAACCGAGTAATAATCATAGCAGTAGGAGTAGTAATACTTACAATGATTCATTGGCAAAGCCCACTGAGAAATAATATCAGTGAAGATGGGGTTGGGATTTTAGGACAACTTGAAGGTTCCTTAAGACCAGTCCAAGTTGAGCGAGCGCTAAAGTAACGCCCAAGGAGCACTAGGCTTTTGATGGCGCTGAACAGGGGTATATTAGAGTGAAAACGGTGTCAGGGAATATGGCAGAACGATCTGCTCATTGGATTTAGAACCCTGCGGCTCGAGAAAAAAACCAAACAACGAAAAGAACAAAAAAAGAAAAGTGGTCGCCGCTCCTACTCGGCGTTAATTTCTCCTTCAGGCTTGTTAGCAAAGTGGCGTGGCTTTAAAACAGTGCCAACGTCTTTGAACAGGACGCTCGAGGCAAGCGAATGAGGTGGTGGAGAGTATGGGACTGTTCAGAAGAGATACCAGTAGGTAGGAAGGTACTGTCAAACAAAGAAGTCGGCTGGCAATCACAAGCCCCGAATGGATTGAAACGCTGGATCAAGGAAATAGTAGAGGACTTGGACGTCAAAAGCACTAGTGCTCGGGGGCTTTTGAAGGCAAGTTTAGAAGTAGGCCAAACAAAAGAGGAAAGCTGGACGGAAAAGAAAACATGGCACGTTCCATCAGCGAGACTTTGCTTCAGAGCATCACTGCATTCCACTGCCAGCAAATATAGACAGCTGCGATGATTATTTGCACTTTGAAGGACTGTGAAGGGAAAATGCGACGAGAGCAATACAGGTACTTTGCTGTACACCAGTGTACTGTACAGCCTGTAAACTAAAGTAGGTATAGGAACGTTTGTTTCTATGACAAAGGGGAAGGGAAATCAGACGAGCCCACACACGGGGTAAGCATCGGATCTACACAATGAGATCTGAAGAACCTGGCCACATGTTTTATCCTTTTTTTGGTAAAAGTTTTATTCTCCCTTTTTGTGGGGACTGGCTTGGAAATGCAGTTGGGAAGGACACTGTGGAGAACAGGTAGAGAAGACGCTGGGCAAGACGAATGCTAAAGAAAGAAGCATACCTGAATCGAATAAATTGTGCGGGATTCATTCAACGGTGTAGTGTCTTGCATTTATTGCTGCAGAATATGACTCCAGGCTGCACGGCTATATGTAAAGTGATTGCCCGCCAACGATCGACTATCAAACTGATAACCGTCAGTCTTTATTTCTGCTTCCCTCGCCTAGATAGTCGACCCGGAAGGCTTGATGAAAGGGATTTAATGTTGGTTCTAGTAGTTGCAGCTTCCTCTATCGCAGGGAACACTGAATGATGACTGGGAATGAGAAATCTTGGGCCGAAGATCGAGGGATCTGTCGGATTGATATTCGTTCGCAAAATACCGAATGGAACGCTTCGCTCAAGTCAAGTTGGCCCTTTTCTTTTTTTCTTTTTCTCTCTTTTTCTATTTTATTTTTTTTTCCTCCTTCCTTTCGCTTTACCCACACCCACGCCTTCTTTCTCCGTTTCTAGCCTGACCTCCTTTACGTCCAATGTATGACCCTTGTAGGTATGCGGCGGAATTGTCTGCAGAACGGCATTGCGCACAAGCCCTGATAGCTCCTAGTTACCAAATTAAGCTTGAAGACGAATACCACTTTTGCCACGAGTTTGTTGTGCAATTCAGGTCCATGTCAGGGCCCAAAAAAACAAAGCATAATAAAAAAAAAAAAAGAAAAAGGAAAAAAAGAGACGTAATAATAACAAACTAAAACTAAAAAAAACTGTAGAACGAGAGATATTTAATTGCACCTGCATTTATGCAACAGATATTTCAAGTAGGAAAATCGAGATAAAGAATTAATAAAAAGGTCACATAACAATAACACTACAATGGGTGACAGCAGAAAGAGGTCCAAGTGTAATGAAGACAGGATTATCTGGGGGCCTTTTTTTTCCTTTTTTTTTTTGGGTATCTTTTCGTTTTTCTTTTGACATTCTGTTAGCTTCCCTGGAATAAAAATGAAGCATGAGAGCCATCGTGGAGAATATTGTTGCATCAGCCAAAATAGCGCGAAAGGGCACTGGACCCTGTCAAAGCGTTGGAGAAACACAGCATTGGTCAATTTCGATGTTACAGCCCCTCAGTATCCAATTCCAGACACTATCAAAGCTGCACAAACTTTGAGTAGTTCCGAGGGGAAAAAATGAATTCCAGCGTTGGAATGATTCAGCTGGACGCTAGCCGGCCGAACTGCTCTAAACCAGACCACTGCCGGTAAAGTCAGCTGTTCTAGCGTGAACACCCGGTCAACGGCAGAGTGCAGCAAAGCAAATTAAGATGGCGCTAGAAAGGATTAGTAGCGACGATCATGGCCCCGGAACTCCCGTGCAGACCCCAGTCGCATGACGGAGGCCGTCGACACTACTGAGCTTAGGCAGCCGCAGACAGCCACGGCGATGGGCCTTACCAACCAACCATGATCGAGGTACGAGAATGCGTCAGTAAAATTCTGGTATAAGGGAGGCAGGGGGCCCGGTGGACCCATTAAGAGGATCCATGTTCTAGACATGACGCCTCTTTTGGGGCCGTTCCAAAGAACTTTCGGGTGCTCGAGGCACGAGCACCAACTCCTGCATGAATGAGAGATCAGGCGATCGACAGTTTCCAACCAACAGTTGGGAAAATTCGGTTTTTCTTTTCTTTTCTTGTTCTTTTTTTTTTTTTTTTTTTTTTTTATTTTTGCTGCCCCGTGCGACGATGGATGAGCTCAAGACCAAAACAGATGAGAATATTAAAAGTGAACAGACTATGCATACGTCAGTCTATATAGATGTTAGTTTTTTACCTTTTCAAAAACACCTTTCCCTTAGTATGGACATGGACATGTCGGTCGCTCACCGACACCGGCGCCGGAGAGCCGATTGAACCATGCAGGCTGCATGGGTACATAAGTAGAATACCTACTTACCGGTTGACCGGTAGGTTCCATCGTATGTACATCTTGAAAAGTACACCCGTAAAACCAGGTGCCGTCAACCAGGATGCTATATTCGGTAAATTATTGGAATTAATGGATAGAACCATGCATCAGGGTTAGTAACTCTTGCTCTCTCTCTTATTCTTTTGCCCATCCCCCCCACCATATCCACTTGAATACTTGTGCCATGAGAGGTAATGAGACATCAATTGGAGGAGTCCGAATTAGTAAGAGTAGGTGTGTAGATGTGGAGAGACGCGTTTCCCGTACACAGCATAGTTTCCAGAATTGAGCTTCGTGCCCCACAAACCGGGGAAGGGTGAGACCAACACAAAGAAGTCCCATTTCAATCTCAGATTAGCGTCATCCTGTCAATTATTACTATGATTATGAGTTCTTTTTGGGTTCTTTTATTTTACTCTTTCTTTTTCTTTCAGTCTTTTCTTGTTTCTTTCACGATTTCTTCTTATCTCGTTTGAAGATCGCCCTGTGGCGGATTTGATCATCCAGCCGTGAAGGAAGCTAGTTGGTCCAAATGCGATATGCATGACGCTGAAAAAGGAGGTCAGACAGGACCATTGGCCGAAGGTCCCTGCTTAGATCCATCCAGGACTGGGGACCAAGAAAAAAAAAACTTGAACTTGGCTAATCGAGAGTGCCTAATGGAGGGGGGTTAATGTCGTGCAGCATGTTATGTGTGCGCGGGATGCGGCGCGAATCCCAGAGTAACCTCGTACAGGGGTCTCGGAGATGGTGGTGGAGAGGTTGCATTTCAGGCTATCGATAGCCAATAAGCATGAGCTCTAGCGAGAAGAGAAAAAAACAAATACATAGTGATGCATATGAAATGAAATCATAGGATAGGAAAAGATGTAAGCGCATGTTGATTTTACTAATCTGAGAAAATGTGCTTAGAGGGAGAAACATAGCCAGTCCGCATGCGCGGTGATGATTGCATTTGGAGTGATTCGTTTTGGAATTCTATTTCCTTTTTATTTATTTATTTTTTTTTTTCTAATTTGGTTAGTCCCCATTTGCCTATGCCATTCCCACTTACCTTGTATATTCAATCATCCATGCGATTTCCCTACCTAGTAGGTTACTGGTAGATTAAGTTACCTCTTGTACGGAGGAGTTGGAGTAGTGCTCATGTTGATCCCAACACAAAGGAACCGCTTTGGCGCTAACCTTAGAAAGGCTAATAGTACACCTGGAGTGAAGTCCATGGGACTCTAGTGGCACGTGCACCACTCCTAGCCTGAATGAGGATAGTGTATGATACCTCCAGTGTACTCCGTAAGTACCTGCTAGTACTTCCTTCCATTCCCCCAGTTCCCTTCCATCCGAAACTAACATGTTTTGGCCTTCTTTCACCCAACTAACTAAATCTTGAACAATGAAAGGAATCATTGACTAACTAATTAACTTGCTTTTTCCCTCCTTAAACCCCTCCATTACATAATATTTTCCATATACGGGCATCGCTCTGTGGATGATCTCAATCGCCTTTCTATTTTTGTTCGATGGACTAGACTGACCCATGTTCCTGGATCCAACCGATTATCCTCGTCTTATGTAACCCATCTTTGGTAATTTCTTTCGATTTGTTGTTGGTTTGATGAGATAACAAGGATTTTAAATCCGTTCTTGATTGTAAAGGAAGGTTAATCGTTTAAATCCCCTCAGCTCTTATTGATTGACCAACCCTTTACCCTCAAGGTTCACTTCGTTTAGATCATGACTTTGATTATTATGTTTTAATATTAATATTATTCTAATTATGGTGGTGGTGCTTATGATCATCATCATCATGATTGCCCTCCCCGTCTTTTTCTCCCTGTTTCTTTCTCGAATGCGCGCTTGTTGTCGCTGGATGAGTGGGTGATCGACTTCATCTCTATGGTTAGTTAAGGTTTTGATCGTTCTAGGCTAAACTTTGACCCTCCATTAACCTTTGATTAGACTCCTACTCATGTGGGAAAAGTTTGCAATACGTTGCCAGCCTTGGCTTCGGGTCTACTACTACCGACCATACTAGCTAACTTAACCATCCCATCCAATCCAGTTAAACGAGTGGATACAACGTTCTCTACCATGCTCTTGCCACATCCAGCTTAGTGGCCGGTACTAGGCCGGTACCTTTTCTTGAAATGTTCCTGTACAACCGCACTTTTGTTAATTTACCTTGACCAGCCCTGACGGAGAGTGAGATACTAGTACTAACTAGTATGTACTAACTTAACTGACCTGCAGCTGGCCGATGGACACTTTGGATCCACTGTGAGAAGGCAGCAAATATTGTCCCTCCCACGAGTCAGCGTCGAGCTAAAGGAATCGCGCGAGTCCAGACCATTCGGGCATTACTTCCGGGATTCCCTGTAGTCTCCACGCTTGAGAAGAAACCCATTGACAGACGGTGATTCTGGAGCTTGAACTTTCTACCGTGATTGTGATCTTCACGCTTTCTTTGGTCCTCAACCTTGAATTCGACTGGTCTTGGCAATTGATCCCTACGACATCGATGGTGACCCGGATACCAAACTTGTCAGCTCTTCGCGCTCTCTCGAGCTAGATATGCCCCGCCTGTACCCTTGACTGGTCTGTTGTCTCCACCGTCCGCCCCAGGGGGATATCATGGTAACCGATGAGCGGGTATAGTAGAACTCTTCTCTTGGTTATATCGACGGAGGCTTTGGCGATGGCGACGATCGACGTGGACTTTAGGTGTTTGATTTGGAATTGTAGTCTACTCCCACTGCAACCCTACGCCCGAGGCCCATGAACGTTTAGTGGAGACTTATGCTCCGGATCATGCGTCTGTCACTGGCCGTAAGGCCAGACTGTCAGGTTAAATGCAATTCTGCCTCTCGCCCCGGATCTTTTTGCACCGCATCTAATGCACCCACCGCTCACATGGATAATGGGGTGCCTGTCCATGTGCTTTTTCCTAACGCAGCTGCCGCGTGATGGCCTGATATTTCAGAATGTCCCGTGGCTGGATTCCGTATCGACTATATCCATACAGCTGGGTCTGTTTGTTAGAAATGAAACTTTCTTGTTCCCACTATTTGACCCTTGCCGAATGCGGTCCTGTCTGTATGACTCAAACGGGTGCCAATTCCCGCCAGATATTACCTGCTGACCCTCAACAATTTCATTCAAAAAGCTTCATTTGAGGTATCTGGAGGTTCCTCATAGGAACCGTGGCCGTATAGTGTAGGTTCCAACGTGGGTTCTCATCCGCACGCTGGAAAAGTCTCCCATACCGTCAGAGGTGAGTCGTCCTGCTCTCTGCCTTTAGCGGGCCCACGGCTGGCTCGCCTTTCGGAGTGTCCCAATTTACCTTTTACCACGCTAAGTCACCCTCGTTGCGCTAAGGAAGAACCCTAACGAAATGCTCCACGGACGGAAATGGCTCCTGAAACCAAGGAAGATGAAGAGTCAACGCAGGAAGACTATTGTTGAGCTAGTCGAACTTGACCTAGCCAGTACAACAAAGAGACAACCGTTAGACCTTATTTACGTTAGCGGCATTAGTTTGAACCTCTGGCGATGACAACCTATTCGACGGCCCGCCATGCTGACTTCCGCCCAAACTCAGAGCTTCCTACTTGTCCATGACAGCTGCCAGTCCAGGGAGCGCTTGAGTGACACAGGCGGACGTGGAAATCGGCTCACGAGCCAACAGGCTGCGGCCTTGATTTGGAATATCGACGATTCGCCCGTTCTAAGAATCCATCCACG